TGATACTAATATGTGAATATTACATGCATTATTATTATTAGTTAAATAAAACATCAGTTTTATCAATCATATTTATTTTAAATACAGCTGTGATTTTTGACTACAGTAAATGGATATATAATTTGGTCAATGGCATAGCTATGATCGGATCCCCCCTTAAAATTAGCATATATTCTCACATATCATGTAACTTAAGCTCACTGCAAAAAAAAAAATCAATAGACTTTTGGAGCTGATATTTATGGGGTGGCTTTGAGCATGTTGAATATAAAAGGGGTTTAAAAAAAAAATTCTCATTTAAATGTATCTTGAGAGCTTATTTCTGTGAGAATTAAAGCTATTTGAGCCTCTTTTTTAAAAAAAAAAAAAAAAAAAAAATCTTTGCTGATATATTCCAAATTGGAGAACTTAAAATATTTTGTTTAGTAACTAATTTCATTTAAATTAGGTTTTTGTCATTTAAAAAAAAAAAAAAAAAAAATCACCTTGCTGTTTAAAGCTTGGAAGAACTTGTAAAGTTATTTTCTGTCTTTCAATTATTGCATCAGAAATGCTTGAGTGTTTGTGATTGAAAAGTAAAAAAAAAAAAGTCTGTGGATGTTAATAGGTCTTCGTAGTTTCATAACATTAGAATTTAGTGATCGTTATCTCTTTTTAAAATGAGCTATAAAAAGACAAGTAATTAACCTCTTAATATGAGACTTTTATATTTTGAAGAAAAAAACAAAAATATACATTAACAAAGACTTAACATGCACTTTCTTAGTTTTCAAAGAATTGCTTATTTAAAGATTCATGGTGAAAGTGGACCTGCTTTAAAATGTTCTTTATTTTCAGGCTCCAAACTGGTATGCGTGGTGCTTTTGGCAAGCCCCAGGGCACTGTTGCTCGAGTGCACATTGGACAGGTGATTATGTCTGTGAGAGCCAGAGAGATGCATGAGCCAATGATTGTGGAGGCTTTGAGGAGAGCTAAATTCAAGTTCCCTGGTCGACAAAAGGTAAATTATACTGAGATTTATTTTGATGGCAATATTTAAACTGTATCGCTTTAAAAAAAAAAAAAATGTTGGTCAGGCTGTGAGGGGGTGCCTTTTCATGAAAGGCAAATAAAGTTAGATTAATGCAAAAACATCAGCTCTTTTTCTCTTATTTTATTTAAAGAAACTGTTGTTTTTAACCTGCACTAAATTTTCTTATGTTTCTTTCTCAACTCTAGATTGTGGTTTCCAAGAAGTGGGGCTTTACTAAATGGGACCGTGAAAAGTATGGACCCATGAGACAAGCTGGTACACTGGTTCCTGATGGTGTAGGGGTTCAATACAAACCTGATCATGGACCCCTCAAGTACTGGAAACAACGTATGACAGCCATGTATGAAGTATAAACATACACATGATACAATAAAGAAAAAAGTTGATTTTTCTGAATGCTGTATTTGTTTTTCATTTAACTTTTTTTTTTTTTTTTTTTTTTTTTAGTAGTCAGTTTCTTTGATTTGACCAATTTAAAGCACATGAAATTTTATGGTATTTCATGTTGATTTGAAATCTGTACATTAACATACATGCAAGAAGAAAGAGAAAAGCCAACGAGTTGAAACTAGTTTTTTTTTATTGTGGTCCATTTGTTTTTTTTTACCTCTTATTCAAAAGACTGACAAAAAGTAACAAGTGTGAGTTAAGGGTCCAATAAAATAAGATTGCTAAATTAGAGGAAATTGGGTGATTTCGCCATAGCACACTATTTAGAACTTTCCTAACCTTTTTAGAATACAAGTTGAGCCCAACTGAGGTTACATAAAAGCTAATCGTGTACAACCCTACATAAATTAGTAAGAAACTTCTCTCTCACAAGCCCCCGCCCCTCATGAAGATTGTTAGACAGGCAGAAATTGTCTTAAAATCCCTGTTCTATTTGCAATTATAGATTTACAAAAATTATAATCTCTACATAAACCATTAGTCAGCAGTTAAGGTTTTTTTTTTTTGTTTTATTGAAGTCTGTCAACTATTTTCATAAAGTTTAATATCTAAGCAATGAGAACATTTTCACATTGTCAGATTTGAGGTGAGGCTTCCTATTGAAAATAAATGAATATTTGTTTGTGTTTTTTTTTTTTTTTTTAATGACTGAACTTGATGAGCAGAGAAAATTTATCAATGGATTATTGATGTAAGCAAAGTCAGAAGAAAAATTGTCATATTTGCTTTCAGTGCATGTCTTCTGCAACTTCCAATTATGCACAAGAATTTAATATTTACTGATTTAATGCAGTCTTAATCTTAAAATATTTTGATATACATCCATATTTAACGGATCTAACTTACTAGGGCGTATGGGCATAATGCACTATAACCACCTTCATGTAGATAATCTTGGGAGGAATGGGGATGCTTAAGTTATATCTTGTTAAAAAAAAAAAGGTTCAAATAATACATATCTTTTGGCTGTTTGTAAACCTCGATACTTAAAATGAAAATTTTGGTAACATAAAGGGGTGGGAAGTTAAGTGTCTGCAAAAATATCTTTGGTTGGCACCGGGGTGGATCACTGATTGGAAAATGAAAGTGACAAGTGCATAACTTAATTTCAGGGTTCTAAACATCTTAGTTTTTGAAATAGCATTTATGTATCATTGATATAATGGAAATGCCAAATGAAGGGGCCTCGTATTCTAATTAGTATTGGACCAGCGGGTTGAGTCAACATGGCTTTATCCGCACTTTTGTGGGATGTTTAGAATTATCTTAGGTATGTAGAGGGAAGTTGATTCTTTTTTTTGTGTGTGTGTTTCAAGGCTAGGTTTGCTTTCCTTACTATTTTATGATCATGTTAAGGAATAAATCTGGATAATTACGCCAATATTCTCTTAGTTTTGCTTTTGTCATTCCGATCCAATATCTACATGGGTGGAATTATGCCAATGTCTTCAGCCTGTGTTTTAATTCTTTCAGCCAATACCTTGTGCATTACTTGGGTGTCTTCAAGGAGGTCTCAATTTATTCTCTGGACAATTCACAAATAGAACTGATAAAGGAAATTTTCAAAATCATAAACAAGAACAATAGTGACTGTGGATTACTGGCTGTGAGGTTTGCCTAAAGACTTCAGGATGAAAACCATGCAATAAAATCCAAACATTTCTCTGATCGTAAACTCTTTTCTTTAATCCTCTTAGGTTTTTGTACAATTTTTTTTTTTTTTTAAGTCAATCTCTACATAAAAATACATTTTCTCTTTAAATTTTTTTTTTTTTTTTTTTTAAGTGATGAGATACAATGAAAATTTCTCATTTAAGTATTTTTCATAAATTTAATGCAAAATGAGAAAGGGATTTTAGATTTGCAAAATGAAGAAAAAGTTTTTTTGCTCTTCAAACTAGATGAAAACATCTTTAGAATAATAAAAAGGAAATTCCTTGACAAAAATAAAAAAAATAAAAACAATTTTTTTTTTTTTTTTTTTTTATCCACTTCAACATAATGAATGCATTCTAGAAGGGTCCGGGGGTGGGTGGGTGTAAACAGCCAAAACAAATTTCAGCAGATTTGCAGCCTTCTGCCATCTAAGGAAATGTTTCCACAATTTATTGTGTAGAACAAATTCTTTGAAACATTTCAATTAAAAAAAAAGAAAACAATTGGTGAGATGGCTTGCGTTTCTTCCAAACTCATTGACTTGTGATATGTTGGGGAATGTTCAACATTCAAGTGGTTCTCTCAAGAATAGCAGAATTTGAGTCCGGTGATATATATATATATATATATATATATATATATAATTTTTTTTTTTTTTTTTTGAAACCAGCAACTTTTTGAAAAGGTTATTCAGAAAAGAGAGAGAAAAAAAAAGACTTTGATTTCTGTTTACAATTTAGAAAAAAATCAACAAAAAAAAAGTTTGTAATGTTTGCTGTATGGTATAAGCAAGTCACTTTGACAATTTCTATTGACCAGCCAACAAGGGTGTTGTTTGTTTTTTTTTTTTTTTTTTAGGTGAAAACTTTTTTGAAGGGAAGACAAAGTTTTCAAAACATCACAATCGTTTTTGTCTCACATATTGTTATTTTTAACACCCCCCCCCCTCAGTCTTAGCCCTGAATCAAAAAGTCTGCTTTTTATTAGCTCCACCCCAAACACTGACCCATTTACCAAGGGTGGGAATTTAATACATTGCGAGAAGAGAGGGTTAGATCAAGAAGAAAAAAAAAAAAGGTTTTTGTATTGTTAAATTTGATATGCATGTCTCCAAGCCAAACTTCACCCACTCTCCTTGCTTCACTGTTTCCTCTGATATGCTCTTCAATCTTGTAAAGTTGTGTAGGAAGTACATTTATCAAGTGTTAGTTTTTGTGGTCAGAATTGTTTTGATTTAGAGGGAAGTGGGGGGGGGGTGAAGAAAAATGAAGTTAGATTCAAGGAATCATGTTTATATGGATGCCAAATTGTCTAACCCCCCCTCCCAAAGCCATAAAGAAACAAATTGGTTGGTTTGTAATATAAACAAAAAAGTAATTTTTTTTTTTCTGACTGCATTAAGACATCTGTGCCACATGCAAAAGATGTAAAAAAAAATATGATTTCATGAAAACTGCTGCTACTGTTGTTGTTGCTGGTGGTGGTGCTTCTTCTGTCTTTTCTTTACACCATTCTCTTCCATAGGTCCCCAGCCCAGCCACTCAGAGAGCAAAAAAAAAAAAGTTCTCTCTAAGGCTGTTTTTGAAAAATTGACAAAACAGCAGCAGTGGGACCATCAGTACCAACAATGGCCTCGGCTTGAAGCAGTGACAACACAGGTAAGAAGCTTACAACAGTACAAAATGGCAGGTTGAGGGAGGGATGGTAGTTGCGGGGGTGGAGATGGTAACAGAAGTAAGTGGCATAACATCAGACCAAGTTGGAATTCTGTGGTGGCAGCAGCAATTGCAGCATCATTAGACATTGTGTATGTGTATGCATGTGTGTATGGATGTATTGGTGTGTGTTAACAAATTCTGTTTCAGACCATGCCAAATCCCTGACTTCCTTCGTTAATGGCAATCATTAGAGCCTTGTGGAATTTCTCTATGGAGTCATAATCAGGTAAACATAACTGGTTGAAACTGAAAAGAGACAAGAAAAAGCCATAGGAATTAAAAAAGAAAAAGTTTTTACAGACATGTGTGCACTGTCCAAGGCAGGGCCTCAAAATTCATCAAAGACACCACACACAGAAAAGTGATTCATTACATGTTTTGCAGCATTTATCTAACAACTATCACAAAAGATGCCCAATGTTACCACGTCTGTGTAAGAGACAGTAAGACCCTAGCAGGACCAAAAAGTCACTGCTCATATTCAAGGATGGCATTGTTCAAAATAGTTGCAGGCATTATATATATATATACACACACATCAAGAAATATACTGTGCTATATTTATGCTAGATGCAATATCGTAGAGCATGAAACAGCCTGTTACCTCTAAGTGTTGACTTCAATGTTCACTTTTCATATTTACACAATCGTCTATCTGATATTGAGCACTTTATCCCATAAATATAGCACAGTATAAGTATAGCCTGTTACCTGTTGACTTCTATGTTCACTTATATATATATATATATATATATATATATATATATATATATATATATAATAGGGTGCGATAGGTAAATTGGCGCCATTTTATATTTTTAATTTTGCGTATGCATGTTTGTTGATTTTGTTTCTTTAGTATGACAAATTGGAAAAAAATTTTTGTGACATATTTCATCCATTAGGTTTTCCGCTGTCTGGCCATTGTGGATGTTGCCACATCTACATATGCACACAAAATTAGAGAGATGCTGGAAGTTTCAAAATTTTTGAAAGAATATTTTTTTTGAAGCCAAATTCATCTGTATTTTTTTTCTTTCTATCACTTTTGTCTCTGACTATCCCACACTATGATAATATAAAATCTACCAAGAATTTACTGTGGATGAACTAGTGATCAAGGAACTTTCCAGTCATTTTTGTCTCAGTGGATTATTTTCTCTTTTAATCAAAGTAGCATTCCCTATGACAATTGTGGTCACTTTTGATACAACAAATAACCAATATGTTTTGTGTTGATTTTAAAATGTCCTTTTGTGTTCATATAGAAGGAAGAATTTATTCCATCAAGTGCAGAAATTGCCAGAATGAATACATTAGAGAAACTTCAACAAGTTTAAACAAAAGACTATATTGTATTTTTAGAAAACAAAAAATTGTCTTTCACAAGGGAAAAAAAAATGACATTTTTACTTCTTGGTAAGCAGACAAAATTCTGATGGGTAACTTTTATTGTTTTATAGATGTTTGTATCAGAATGTTGGTCAAAGAAAGATTAAGGCTTTTAAATTAAATTTTGGTATTCAAATGGCATCTGTCTGAACAATGAAAAAAGTGTCACAATAAATTCTTAATGAGTCTACAGTAAGCAAAGAATGTGTTGGCATCAAAACATACCATGTATGAGCTGTTGGCAGAGTGTTATATGTGGGGGCAGCAGTAATTTGGAATTTTGGATTAAGTTCAGAGAATCCCCCTGGAGGCAACTGGGAACATCCGGTTGTGAACTGTAGTAGTCGAGCCATGTGCTCTTCTGTAAAACTGGCCACAATTGTCCAGAACCAATCCAACACCTGAAGATTTAAAAAAAAAAAAAAAAAGAGATCAGATTTAAAGAGCAAAAAAGACTGACGTGTGACATGGTAGGTTCAAGATTTTAAAAATTGGATAATAATTTTAAATGCAAGCAAAGAAATTCTACTATTAAGATAGCTATATCAGCTCTCTTTGCTGTAAGTGAATCTTTGATTCATCCATTTTGATTCTGTCAGCACATAAATCCTAGTAGATATATATCCTTCAGCAGTCCTTTACAATTGAAAGACTTGGAATGGAGTATTTTCAATATTTCAAATATTACTCAGCTCATTATTTTCACCTTTGTTGTTCTTAGTAAAAGTTTGAGCCAAAAATATTCTTCAGCCTTCCTCAGGTAGAAGTCTTGGTCCAAAATGCAATTTAAATAATACATGAAATAAAGAAAACACTTTAGAAAATAATAAGACAGACAGACATTCTGTTGAAATATTGTTTAACATTGTCAAACACTTTTTTTCTTATCTTAAATGTTGAAAAATATAGGAAGAGTTACATCAATCATTTTGTTTGAATAATAATAAGATTTGGTCTAAATATGGGACAGAAGATGCTGAAAAGTTTTTGGATGAGAACTTTTCATCACTTCTTGGACATTTTTTGATTCAGTACAATTGGTGTTCTATGATAATCGGATTTTTTTTTTTTTTTTTTTTATAAAAGATTTATACATTAGTGCCTTCCAGAAAATGTAGAGATTAATTTATGAACTTCCCAATAAATAAAGAGAAGAGAAATTGAAATGAAATCATAATATAAATTAGAATAGAAAAAAAAAAAAAAAAAATAGGTTGAACATTATTAAGGATCTGAGCTGTAAAATAAGATCCATCGGGTTCTCCAAAATACAGTTCGTTTTAAAAGCAATTAATGTGAAAAATATGGAATTTCTAAGTAAGTTTATCTTCGATGCATTATGTCGAGTAGATTGAAAATTCTTTGAGAGGGAATTGGCTGCCGGATTTTAAATGTGACAAAGCAATAAAAAATGTGAAGTCACTCGTAAAAAACAAATTTTTCTGCATCAATTTATTCAAGAGTTGCCTCCCCTGACACGCGAGAGTCGTAGGGTTTTGAATTTGATTTAAGTTGGTTCTCTAGTGTTTGTATCACTTGGAGAATTGACAAACTGACAGGAAGGTAGAGAAATAAGTTAAAAAAAAAGACTATACTTAAAAAAATATAAAGGGAACATATTAACAGTAATTAGATATTTGATGAGCAAACAAGAATTGATGGATTTCGTTAATCATTGCCTATTCACATCAACCTCACAAAGAGTGGAAGTGATTTGTATTGCTTATTCATAAAAGTGAAAGAAAGAAAATTAATCACATTAAAAGATACAATAAGAGAGCAGATAGTGTCACAAAATGCACATAGAATCACACTCTCCGATTTTTGAAGGCTTCTTTCATGGTCTATTTGTTTGATGTATTCAGGAGGGAAATGTTTTTATGTGAGTTTTTTGGATTTGGTTAAAATTAAATAAGAGAAGAAAAATATTTGTATGCCTAATTATGCATAATTCCGTTTAATTTTTGATGAATATTTACTTTAGTTTTAATGTTTAGTTACTTTTTATCACAACTTGTGCTCAGGCTGTCAACCTACAAGAGTGAGTAGACAGGATTAGCAATAAAGAACAAATTCTAATAAGAAAAGTCTACTGTTTGGATGCTCATATTGTTGGCATAAGTGCAAAGAATATTGCATTTGTAATAAAAGAATCAAATTTCTGGATTTTTTTACTTTCTTTTGATTGATGCATTCTTTCCTCACAAAAGAAAAATTCCTTTCCTAATGCTGTCGTCATTTTTCTTTTCTGGTTGTTGCATAAGCAGTTTGTCATGAGTTTTCATTTTCAAGTGTCCAAAAGTTTTCTTGTTATTTATAAAGTCTTTTTCACTTAAAGTTCAAGAAATTTAAAATTTCTTCCTTAAGTTTGTGTTTAGCAGGGTCCTCTAAATTCCATGAATAAGATTAAATGTTGTTATTTAAACACAATTTGTATTTTATGTTTCAAAACATTAACTTTTGTTTGTTGTGGTCAAATAAATAATAACAACACTGTTCTCTCGGTAACACTAGCTTTAATTCTTCAGTGTCTACCTTCCTGATTTTCAGTGCAATCCTTTAGTAAAATCATTGGCAATGCATTTACATTATAACATCCTCTTAGTAATGCTTGAATCAATTACGGGCCACTAACTATTCTTTTCTTCATGATTTTTAATGCATTTCTATAGTAAAATTTGTTCAGTTCCTCTGTATATGTCTGCTTATAGAAATATAAAATGAAATAGAAGCTAGTGATGTGAATGTTGTCAATATAGTATTTTTTGTGTATTCATAAAATAATGAAAACAGAGAAGCTATTGTAAGTTTTTTTTTATACAAACCCATTGAGAGAATAGAAATGAATTGGTAGAAATAAAGCAAGTGGAATCAATTTGGAAAACAATGCCAAAGTTGAAAATGCTAGAAAAGTTTGAACTTTAAAAGTGACATTCCATCAATTATTCAGACGAGCATCTTCATCTTTGTTGTTTTGATCACAATATGAATGTGAGACAGGACACAGCAAAAAAAAAAAAGTGTGAATGAAGCAACACATCTGAAGACATGAATTTGAATAAATATCAAGGAATAACAGTAACACATGACCTCAGAATTTAGGTTGATGCATCTGTTCCATATTTATGTCTGATAAAAAAAACAAAAAAACAAACAAACAAAGGAAACCCTACTCTAAGGATGATATTTATGCTTTCTCTGTTTAATTTTCAAATAGATTTCATGCCTTTCTAAGGATTTATCAATAAAAGGAGGGAGAAAGAATTTTTTTTTACCTTGCCAAATGCTGGAGAAGTGCCACAGATGGAATGGTGCAATTTGAAATCAGTTATACTATAATTACCAGTTCCACACATCAACAACTGAAACAAAAAAGAAAATGGCTTCAAAAGCTTTCCTAGGCTATAAAATTGTTCAGTTTCTACAAAAGCATTAAATTGCCATTTCAACTCAAATTAGAGGAATGTAGCCAATCAAGTTAGAATCATTATTCATGAAATTAAGTGGAGATGATTTCTCAACCTTTAAGAAATATTCAATGAACATACCCACAAAAAACAGGGTGTCAAAAAGTCTGACACTGCTTTTACTGTATACTTTCTTGACTTCCTCAACAATGTTTGTTTTAAAAAGCTATGTTTAGAATTTTAATAACAAAAATGTTACACACTATTTAGCTGTTAGATTGTTTATTTACAAAATTAATTTTATATTTTTTTTTACCTACTGCAGGAAAAAATCAGTCATGTCTCAAAAGATACATGATCACCTAAGCGTGTATCACGCATGGCACATAACTGAATTTCATATTTACAACAATATGAAAATATGTGAATATTCGAATCAATTGACATTTAGCCAATATTTTGTCAACCAATCCAAATAACACAATTTGCTGGCTTAGCCAATTGCTTTGGTTAAGTTGCCTAGTGTTCATTCTTCTTTTAAGATTTCTTAATGTCTTGACGGACGATAGATAATCTATTTGCAGATTTTCTATGTATGTTTCATACAGACTTTTAAAAAAATTAGCAATGATTTTAAAAATATTTAAAAAAAAAAAAAAAGAGGAGGAAGGGGTTTGGTATCTTTGATTTGAGATCACTATTATAAACCAAATTGAAAAATTAAAACTAAGAATATTCTGAGATCTAAAATAATCTGAGAAAAAAATGTATAATGTTCAGAAAAATCATATTTTTATTTAAATTTTCTTGTTCTATAAATCACAGACGGTTTTATAAATTTCTGAATAAAAACTTTTCATATTTATTTCTTTATGAAATGGTAAATAAATATTGCATTTACATATTTTTATAATCTTGTAAATAAACAATCTGCTAGCTAAAAAAAGTGTGTAACATTTTTATTTTTCTTAAAATTCTAAACAAATCTTTTTAAAACAATAAACATTCCCAAGGAAGTCAAGGGTGTATACAATAATAGCAGTGTCAAGAGAAAAAAAAAGTCTTTTTGACATATCATGTTTTATACAGGTATCAGTCACTCACAACTTCATGTACAAATTCTAGCTTGTTAACCATCATTCAATAGTACCCCCCCCCCCAATGTTGAAGTAAAGAAGCTAAAAAAAGATTTTTTTTCTTGTTTCTGGTCTTTAATACAAAGACAATTCATTTATTTATTTATTTTTTTTTTCACAAAATTCAAATTTTCAAATCTTCACTTGAATCCTGGTTTTTGGATTGGGATCAGCTCTGTCTAGTCTTTTAGTAGAATAGTGCACAGAATTAAAAGAAATATATCTAATCCCTGGAGTTTCAATTCTGGTGCAGCACTTCCTCATTTCACTAAAGGATCATGGATCATCCTGATGATCTTTGTGGCAAAAGATTGGGTAAAGAATAAGGGGAGACAAATATCAACCTGGACTTTTAAGAGTAATTTCTTATTTACAAGTCAGTGCCATTAAGCTGCACACCAATAAACCATGATGTCGCTTAAGCTGTGCATGCGTGATGGACCCCAAAATTTTTTGTCATGTTTATATTAGAATCCTAATTATCAGTGGATCCCAATTTGAAACAAATTCAAACTTGATTGTGACACTTTTTAAAGTCTGATTTTTTCTGTATAATCTTTTATTTTAATAAATTCATTAAATTGCTTTTTAATACCTTCAGTATATTCGTATTTTCCCAGGCATTTACTATTGTTTGGGCTTTGGCATTTCATACTCACAATTGTGTAGTGGTTTGGATTAGCACTTCACAGACATTTTGAGTATGAAATATGCAGCTTACAACCTTTATCCTAACTTAAAAAAAGTTAAACATTGTTGAAAGTATACGAAACGGCACAGATCACAGCAAAGTCTCTAAAGAACCAGAATCTACATTGAGAGGTTGGATCAAAAATAAAGAAAAGCTACAAAGTTTTTTAGATGAGTTAGACAAAGGAGGTTTGAAGAGGAAAATTATTTTTATTAATACAATACAATGTATTGTAATGTTTCTATTCAAAATCTTAATAAAACTATAAAAATGAATTTTAATTTTTTTTTTGTTAAAATGTTAAAATCTCATGCGTATGAGATTTCTGCCATCTTTTGCTGTCATTGATGATGGATCTATTGACATGGCGCTTTATAATTGGAATCATTTTAGGTCATCGTCTTTCAAATTTATTCACACTGGTACAGATTTTTATATGAAATTGAAGGATAATTTTAATAAATGTTTTTCAAAACTGGTAATATTCAAATCTTAGTATTGAATATGCATTTTGCATGCTTAGCTACCGTGTTACACGTTTTTTCAGATAACTCCATGGACTTGACAAGCTTCGTTTTGGTGGTGTAAATAAACTAGTGCTCAATTTAATATCAGTGGTGACCTCAGAATCCACTTTTATATTTACTTATGCTCTATCCTGATAGACCCATAGATATAACATACCGTAAAACTATCCTGATAGACCCATAGATATAACATACCGTAAAACTATTTCATATATATATATATATATATATATATATATATATATATATATATAGAGGAGACATGGTGGCATAATGGATAGTAGCTCAGAGTGAGGAATTGGAGAGCAGTTCAAATTCCAGTCAAATCCATTACATTCACTTATGTCCTAATACCCTTGGGAAAGGTATTAATCATCATCTCTCTCCAACTATGGGTAAATAGCAGGACAGACTGGGTTCTATAGTCTTGGATGGTCTAGGAGAAGGACAACTCAGAATTCAAAACCTGCACAGGGTTGTTTGGGGACCTTGTGGCATGTAGTGCACCAGGTCTCTGTATTCGGCCATTCAAAAAGTGTGGCTGGTTCTGCACAAAGCCTTCACTACTATAATCAAATCATATGTGCTGGTGTCTGAGTTGTCAGTTCCTAGTAACTAAGCTGCTTGACCCTCATACGTTGAATACAATGGGAGAGCCCAATATATATATATATATATATATATATATATATATATATGTGCATGCACACAGACAAAGGTTTGTTGAAAAGTTCTTAGTCCACCCTACTTTTCAAAATGTAATGAAATTGCCAAACATCAGATTTTCTGACTGCAAAGGGCTACATGTAAAACACAAATTAGTATTGATATTTTTTGAAAATGTTTTTTATAACCTGTTTATAAGTTATTTAAAAATTTATCTTTGAAAGGTTTTATAATAGTTTAAAAAAAACAAATTATAATTTTATTTATTTATAAACATCATAATTTCAACTTTTGTAAACTTTACATTTCAATTAATTTCTAAGAAAAACTTATTAAATTGACATGATAATTAAATTGACATGATAATTAAACTGACATGATTATTAAATTGACATGACATAAACTTATTAAATTGACATGATAATTCCGAAGGAAGTTGGTTAAAGTGCAAATGTTGACCAACCTCTAATTCATTTTCATCAAAGATACTCAGCAGATTATCAGGAATGAGTTCATTGAGTCCGTGCAGAAAGTTCTCCAGTTCATCCTTAATGCAAGTGGACAGTCGATGTTCAGCCAAGAGGTCCAAATACCACAGTTTATTTTTGTTGGTCACACTGATTTTGGATCCATTTGGGACAAGGTCAATAACCTGCAAAAACAAACAAAAAAAACTTTGTTTAACTAAGAAGAAGCAAATCAATAAAAATAACTTCCTAACAGGAAATTGATGAATTCAAAGTAAGAATGTTACATAAATTGGAGTGGAGATGTAGACAAATGACTAAAATATAAATCAAAAAAGTCAAGTGAAACATTTAAAAACATGACATCTGGTTAACAAATTAGAACAAAAGTATTTACTTGTTTCAGGATAATGCACCACACACCAACTAAATCAGACAATAAGCACTATGGTGTTTGGTAAGCATTGCATGTTGATATCAGCAAGAGCAAAGACTTAATAGCTGCAAGCATTGCAAGTTTTTTTCAGCCTTATAATGCACATATAAATTAGAATTTAAAACATATGATCGTGTTGTATTGATAGAGAGATACCAAAAGATGTAAGCATCAAAACTATAACATCTTTTAAGAGACAGTTGCGTAAAATTACATTTGAGATGAAAAGCAATAAAATTTGTTGTTGTTCCTTTTGGGTGAACAGTGATTGTGTTACTTAATTATATATATATACAATACATTCCCTCCGCCACAATCAGAAAATTCAAATTTAAAAGCATTTTTGAATCAATCAAGTTGAAGAAATTACATTTTAAAGCAGACTATTTCTGATTTCAAACTTAATGAAAGAATAGAAAACAAAAACTAACTCAACCCCAAGTCAGTCAACTTTAATATTTTCTGCACAACTTTCTACATAAAATCCTTTAGGCTGCAAAGTTTTGAAAAATATTTCTTCACCAAAATGCTGCAAATTTTTATCAAGAGCCAATATAAGAAAGCTTTTACATTAACACTTAAGCCACACTATTATACAGATTCCCAATCAAAATAATTATCTTTCTTTAACATACATTTTTGCATGTTGAACTGATATTTCTTGACATTCGCAAAAATTATTTTGAGCAAAATTCACATTTCTTTGTTGACAGTTATTTCCACTATTTGGATTGATAATAGGGACAAAGTGTAATAATGCTTGTTCTAATTTCATTTTAAAAAGTCAGAATTCCTACAATTTTTTTGTTAGCTATAAATCATAAAGTGTGTAGAATCACAGGCCAACAACATTTGTAGAATTAATTTCTCAATTCCTGTCCATAATCATTTTTCAAAAAATCTGTCATATTTTTTTGTTTTTTGTAAGAAGAAAGTGTTGCAAAGATCCATAAGAGGTTATTGATTATTTATGGAAAGGCTGCACTTGATGTAAGCACAGTAAGATGATGAGTCAGAAGAGTTAATGGTCATCCTAGAGAGTAAGGAGAAACTAATCATGGTGACAAGCCCATCAAGTGACAGATCAACTGCTGCTGTGAATGAGATAAGGACTGATGCTCTCATTAGTTGTAAGCAAAATCATGATTGCAAAACTGTGAGTGAAAATCTTCCGATAAGCCATAGTAGAGAGTGCAGTTTAGTATAGTTGACTACTTAAAAAAGTAATTATTTTACACAACAAATATCTGTGTAACATGAGTTTCCAGAATGTTGAGAGACTGCATGAAAGCATCCAGCACTTGCAACCTCAGATTTTCATCTGTTTAGGTGTATGAAAGAAGCACTAAGAGAAGAACAGTTCTCCATTGATGACAAGGTGAAAGTGGCAAACTGAGCATAGTTAAAAAATCAGTCTAGAAGCTTCTATGAAGCAGGTATTCATACATTCATTCGAAGGTAGAATTCTACAACTGTGAAGAAAGGTGATAAAGGACTGGATTTGAAATCTAAAAACTTTTTCATTCATTTTGGTAGATTTTTATGATTAAATCCATTGTAATTAAAGAACAATTATTAACTTTTTTTTTTTCCCAAATGTATAATTTTTTTTCCTTTAAAAACTATGTGAACATTTCTTCTTCAGTATCTTTTCTTCTATAAATAAAACTTGTTGATATTCACATTTCTAAAACTTAAGCTTTTATTCTTCTTTCATGTTTTTGGAAACCGTCTCTTAGTCTGTATAGATATATACAGAGATATAGATATATACAGAGATATTTCTATTCATTTTTAAAGACCATTGCTGAATTCTTCAAAGTCTTAATTTTGTTCGGCAATAAACTAAAAAAAAAAACATGAGGCATAACATTGCTTATTTTTTAGATGGGTTTACAACGTTAGTTTGTATCTGCAAGGCAAAATGACATCAACTAGATCAGTCAAATGAAATATGTCCATGTTTCACTCCAAATTACCGTCATTCAAACATTAGATAATTGTGAGCTTTTTTCCCAGGACTTTTTTTGAATTGGAAAAAGAAGAGACTCAGAGACAATGACCTTCAAATGTATCATTGCACATTTGGATGAGCTGCAAAGAGATATATTTGACAGATTTCAGGACCTTCTTTTGCTTAAAATACCACACTAGGTGATCAATCCATGCTTAGATATGGTCAATAAGGAAACAGGAGTGATGCAAGAAGAATTGATTTCACTCAAAAATGATATAGAGCTGAGGCTAAAGTTAAAACGATCATATCAAGATTTCTGGTTGTACCCCCCCCAAAAAAAAAACAACCTGCTATTCTACACTGTACAACAAAGTTCAGTGTTACTTTCCCAACATCACATTAAGTAGAATGAGGCTTGAGGGTAGTTGCTCAGCTTTTTTCTAAACAAAGAAATAGACTAAAAATTATTGAACATGGAAATCTACAACATTTACTCCTCCAGTCTGATGCTGAAAGCTTATAGCTTATGTACCAATCACATCTCTTGCATTAAAACTGTGAAAACAATGAAATTACAGATGTGAAATAAATTTAATTTTTCATAAATTGGTTTATTTGTGAAATGCATATGTATCTTTGTGTTAGGTTAGTTGTTTGGAAATTGTAATGTGACATGAGACCAAGAAAGAGGTGTGTCTGCTGTATGTGTGGATTGGGTATTGGTACATGGGATTGAAAGCCAAGAGAGTGGTAGCCTGAAAAACATTGGTGAGAACTACTGATCTTTAGTCTTAGAGATCACCCTTGAAAAAAAAAAAAAAAACTTCCTCCATTACACTTTACACTGGTATTATGGTTGGGAGCTTATACACCAACAATTCAAGTCTGTATGATTTGAGTTGTTTGTGAATAAACTCCCAATCATAGGAGTCCGGATAAGTTGTAATGAAATGTCATCTTTATCAAAACATTAATCTTTTAGGCCAGCAAATACAGCATATCTTTTTGGACATTTATCCTAAATTGTATGTTTGGACATACCATTCATTTGCATACATCTATTTAGTGTTGATTTTGACAAAAAGTAGCAAATAAATCCCAAGGAATTAATGTTGATGATCATTGTAATAAAAGAAGACCTTTGATGTTTTCCTGACCACCCCACATCAATATTGATCGAAGCCTTAATCATTAATAAATAATAATAAGCTAAAAGGTCACTTTATAATGCAATATTTGTATTATCTAACTTTGGTTCTTGACCAATTTCTGGCCCATTAATTCTTCTCAGCATATTTCATAATGTTATTCCTCACTTTGTAGAACTATAATTTGTCAAAAGTTTAAAACTGCCAATCTGTGGTTCTAATTCTCTATTAAAATCTCCCGCCTCAGAGAAGACATCCCCTTCTGGTTGAGAAATATTGATCTAAATAAAAACATTATGCATATATGTAAATTTCTGTATTACTATTTTTGTATTATTCTTGCTTGTATTGAGAGAAAAATACAAGCAAAATAGATGACCCACAGTAAAGATTCATAATAACTGAATGAAATCTTGAATGAGAAAATATTTTCAAAAATCTTTAATTTTCTATAGCTGAGCTTTTATAATCAAATTAAAGAGGACAATTGTTTATTTTAAAAAGCACAGATACCTAAATCAGTGGTGACCAAACTTTTTTTCTCTGGGTTGCATTTGTGGAATCAAAATTTGATCGTGCCTCACCAAATTTTATGTGAAAAAAAGTACATTTAAAAATAAAAAACAGAGTGAGGGTTAAAGAGAGATAACTGCAGATTGAAAGTCAGAAAATTATCATTGATAACTCTCTCCTCCAATTTGCAGACTCTAGTTACTATATTCTTAATACTTGATATAATGCAAAAATATCACAATGATGAAATCGGTCAATAATTATTTATAACTATCATGAATGCAATTACAAGTAATCAATAATAATATTATAAATTTTGAAATCATATCTATTTTTGGCACATGAATATTTTTAATCTTCCTAAGTCTTTGATTGTTTTTCAATCATTCTGCCTTACCTATGAGGCATGACGCACTGTTTGGGAATCAGTGGTCTAAATTAAACTTTTCATTTTTTTCTCTCTTCTTCGGATCTCACTTGATGATAGCAATAGGGTCAGAATGCTTGAATAATTGGATCTTTCCTTACAGAACTGAAAACTGTTTTATTTTTTTATACAAGGAGTTAAACAAGTTTAATTTCAGAATAAAGGTAAAGGGTCATCAGTGAAAAATGTAATGTGTTGATTTTGAAACAGTCCAGGGATTAGATTTTGGCAATAGATTTTGGTTAATATTGAAACATTGAAAAGCCATTCCTTGTTTGCTAATGGCAGGTAGATTAACAGTTGCGACTTGCATATTTCACTTCATATTTGTTCTTCATTTTTAACCAACATATTTTGACAGGATTAAATGGAGACAAATAAAAAACAAGTTGAAGAACAATAAAACTAGGATATTGGATTGTGCATTGATGTAAATTACTGTGACAAGGAGGAGAGTTACTGGACAAAAGGATAACTGATGTTGCAGTATCTCCAAGATGACGTGTTAACATTTCAAGAATCCATTCTGGCATGGTTTCAGATTTGAAGGCTCCTCTTCAACGTGTGGCACAAATGACTTCATAAGTAAGAGACAAAAAAACAAAAAAAAAAAGAAAGAAAGAGGTATTTTTTTTTTACTCTGAGCAGTTGTCCTGATTCACTGTATTCTTCTTCAGAAAACGTCAGCTCCATATCAGAGACATCATTCTCCTCAATGTAACGGATTTTTGTCTTGTACAGTTCAGGGTCATCAGTTTCAAAGTACTGCAAAAAGCAAAAACAAAAAAAAAATAAAATAAAAATATTTCCTTAGAAAATTTTTATAATATTTATATGCATTAGAAATTTATAATAAAACTTGCAGAAACTTTAAACTATGAGGGTATTGGTGTTGCTGATAATCACTGGAGCACCGGAAACACACTTATAGATTCTGGCAAAGAGACTGGAACAAAAATTCAAGGAAAAAAATGAGTAACAATGTTGAGGTCTATAAGATAGTGAAAGGAAAATAGAGATTTGAGGAGATTAGTTGTCAGTTAATCCCCAGAGATGAATCCTCTGTGAAGAAGAAATATACATAATATATAAACATTTACTGATGAACAAAAAAACCTGAGGGAGAAAAGCTAATATAAACAGAAACACATCATAAAAGTCACAAGAAGAGAAATCTATAAGAAGGGGAAGTGATAGAATTGTGCAATGAAGTCTATATTGATAAGAGAAGGCTGGCATTAATAGCAGAGCTGCTAGGAATCTGCTTGCCTGCAGGCCCGTCAGGCTATGTTTGTCAGAGGGAGGTTTATGGAAGAAGAAGTTGTAATACGCTGAGAATCATTCTTGAAAATGTTAGGAATCAAACAGAAATGCAATGTGGAGTTCCCTGTGCATTGCAAGAAATCCATTTTCTTTTCTCTATTAACAAATGTATAAATATATATACATAACATATATATATATATATATATATATATATATATATATATATATATATATATATATATATGCACACAAGAGAAAAATATATTTTTATGCTATGCTATATTTATGGGTAAATTGCTCAATATCCGGGATAGAGTGTGTATAAATATAAGAATGAACACAGAGGTTAACACCGAGTGGCAACAGTCTGTTTAAAGTTTGAATGCAATCTTCAGTTTGAAAATTGTGGTCAAACACAAAAAGTGTGACCACTCAGTGTTGTTCTCAATGTCCACACACACACACACATATATATGTGTGTGTGTGTGTGTGAGAGAGAGAGATTACAAATAAGCATGAAACAGACTGTCGCCACTGGGTGTTGACTTTAATGTCCACTTACATATATAAGAGAGAAGAGTGAGAGAGTATAAGTGCTTAAAAGTTCTTGGTCTGACCAAAAAACTTTTCAAAACGAAAACATGTCTAATGTGTGATGTGGCACCATGCATAGTTAGAAATCTGAAAAGAAATATTCATAAATATATGATTTGTTTTTTACGGTTTGTCAACCATTTGATAATTATTTAAGGCTGAAAAATATTTCGGGGTTAGGAATAATTCTTTCTTTACATTCAAGCAGTCTGGGAGAAAGAAAGAAAAGAAGAAGAAAAAGAAAGAAAAAAAAAAGAAAATATAATACGAAAACCAGGTCATAAGCGAACAAACACACGCTCCATTGATACATAACAGATGTTGGAAGATATCCCGGTCAAGCACCTGACCTACTTCCGTGTCCACGAAAAATGGAAGTTTGTTATCAATTTGGTTGAAGAAATAAAGTTTAGAGACAATGGAAAAAAAATATGATAGGTAACAGGTGGGAAGTTTATCAAAGTATATACAGGCAAACCATTAATACGAAAACCCAGACAATTCCAGAACTGAAAATAAAGCCACACAAGATGATGTTAGAAAATGCTTTTTTTGAGATAATTAAGATTTTTGTTATCAAGCTCCGAGCGAAAGAAAAAAGTGAAATATTTTTATTAGTTCACAAAAACGCCACCCAGTCTGGGAAATCCCTTTCTTAGATCATATCCAATTAGCGATAAACTGTTTGACAAATACCGCGTGTAAAAGAAACAGAGAGCATCATTTCGGTCACGTACAAAAAGGGCAATTTAAATTTTTGTTTCTTTAAGTAAGGTGTTTCTTCCCCCAGAACAAAGCCACGGATTGCCCACGCCCGATTAAAGACTTCACGAAGGAAGGAGGAAAGATACTGACCAGAGCCTCATTGGCCGAAGGCGGTCACATGATACATGAGGGAGGAGGAGAGACACCCGACCAGGACCCCATTGGCCGAGAGCGGTCACATGACGTGCGAGGGAGGAGGAAAGATGCCCGACCAGGACCCCATTGGCGAGAGCGGTCACATGACATACGAAGGAGCGGGAAGTGGGTATACGCCCCCAGAGGCACAGTAAGGGAGTAGGAGTGAAAGTAAGTTACGAAAATGGAAAATCCCTAATCAGAAATAAGAAGGGTGGATACGTATTTAGAATTATCAAAAAAACCCCTGGCGCCGACAGACCCACCCCAGTTTTGACTGCATCAATAAAAGCGAGACCCCAACCGACAGAAATCAGTTGCAGCCATGGATGGCGAGAGAGATCAGCCGTGAACGACAGGCAGAGAGTTTGCGCCGCAGACGGCGAGAGAGATCAGCCGTGAACGACAAGCAGAGATCAGCGCCCAGTGTTGAAACCAAACCACACCCCGAAATGCAAATTTATAGAGAGCAGGCAACTCGAAGCCTTAAAGTTGCTTGGTAGAAGGCAGCCACAGTCCACAGAACGGGTCGGGAGGTAGGAATAATCTTGTGTAACGAGCAATTAGATATAAAAAAAGTTGTTACCTTTTTCTTCAATATTTTTGACCTTGTGAGTTTTTATTTTTCTTGTGTGTTATCACCCCGTTGGACTCAGCTTGCATATGGCCCAATCCCTGTTTGATCCCGTCTGTCTAAGATCTAATCCTGGCGTGGGTAGGCAGACCGAGATCAGTGCAGTTACCCTGGTAATCAGGCATTGGAAGCGGGTTGGGAACAACGAGGTTGGTATTCATCTAACCAAAGGGTTAGAACGTCACACTTGGAGCAGCGAGGAGTGAACAGCTGGCGCCGCGAACGGGATCGAACGACACAGTCGACGCTGCGACCAGGGGGGACGACGTCACAGTGATCAGATTCTAAGGAATGGTTTATACCAAGAACTTTTAACCACTCTTTCATATGTTTGTTTGTGCGTGGGTGTTTTTCTTATAACTCTAAATATTATTCAGTGGATACACCTTATTTGAATAGATGCCCTGTTTTTTTTTGTTTTTTTTAATAGCCTAAGTTATGTCTACGGGGCTATCAATTCAAGAGACTTAATAAAGAAAATGTTTTTCTCTATCAAGATTTAAACCTGCATTCCCCTGTTGTAGGGGAAACCACCATTTGATCTGGCCTGCTCGGCTACAGAGAGCATCACAGCTCAGTAAGGTTCAATAACCCTTTTAAAGAATGCACATTGTCTCACTGAGATCTTCTCAAACAAGAAGCAAAGAGTCAATGCCTATTATTATAAATGGCCCTGAGGTCATCTCATTTTTATCAAATAAGGGGCAGCTATTTGCCACAATCTTTGTCTCAGTGTCAGATGACAAAAAGCCACCTCCTTCCCAGTTTCCTCCCATCTCACTGAGCACAATCCCACTAATATTTTTATTACAGCCCAGGAAGTATCAAGACCTATCAAAAGTTTTGGCTGTAAGAAGGCTAAATAAAATCAAGAAGACTACCTCAAAAGAGACAACCTCTTGAGCAACAAAGAGTACAGGTTTCAATTGGCTAGATCCACTGCTGATATCTTAACTGCCATTACTCACAGAATCAGTGAGGCACTAGACAACAAATATATCTCAAGGATGATTGCATTAGATATTTCAAAGGCTTTTGATAAGGTGTGGCATAAAGGGTTACTGTATAAGCTCTCTACTTATGTAATCACTGGAAGAGTCTTCTCAATTATAAAGTCATTTGTAATGCATAGGTCCCTGGTGGTAGGTGTTAATGGCCAGTCAGTTTACAAAAATGCGGTGAGCACTCATTCCCCTAATTGCATAGACTCATTAGGCTCCTCAGTGTCATTAGCAGACTTTTTGAATCTATAATCAACAAGAAGGTTGTTAATCACCTCAATAAGGATAACATCTTGAGCAACAAACAGTACAGGTTTTGATGGGCTTGGTCCACTGCTGATATCCTAACTGGTATTATTCACACAATCAATGGATCACTAGGCAACAAATATAACTCAAGGACAATCGCATTAGATATTTCAAAGGCTTTTGATAAGGTGTGGCATAAAGTGTTACTGCATAAGCTCTCTACTTATGTAACCACTGGAAGAGTCTTCTCAATTTTAAAGTCCTTCTTAAGAGGTCAGTAATAGCCAGTCCTCCAAGGCCCAAGAGATCAATGCAGGCATCCTCCAAGTTTTGCTTCTCGGTTCAGCCTTCTTCCTTCCTTACAAAAATGATCTGCTTAAGAGTATACTCCAATCATTTGTGAATATCTATGCTGATGATACAACAACACACCTCTAAAACTAGATGACCAGAGCTTGGCAGCTGATCTTTCCTCTGGTCTAGCTCTAACTGATCACTGAGGAAAAAACTGGCTGATCACTTTCAATGCTTGGGAAACTAAACTAGTGATGTTCCATCATCACCAAGAAGACTTTAACTGATCATGATGAATGGGTGTGTTCTCTCAGAGAGACATCATGTCCTGAGTGCCTATTTGGACTTAAACTCAACCCAAACCTCAAGTGGAACTTGTACATAGAGTTCATCACTAAAGATGCTGGAAAAATGATCAGCTCATTGTAATGCTCCATTAAGTAGCCAACTCCTCTTGCTATCCTTTACCTTTACAAGTGCCAGATCAGGCTGAAAATGGCGTACTGCTACCATATATGAGCAAGAGCTGCACAATCTTCACTTTTCAAAAACGTCTCTGCATCCTTGTGGGTGACAATCTATTTTTTAACCTACAACCCCTTTCTCACAGACAAAATATTGCAAGACTCTCGCTGCTCAATTGCTATTTTCATGGAAAATGTTCAGACGAACCACCATTGCCCCCCATACAATGTAGTGAACCACCCTCATTTCCTTCATATTCTATTGGTGCAATACAAGTTCCACTCAAACAGTTTCTTCCCATGAACCACTTCCACGAGTGTGCTTCCCTGATCACTACAATCTTGACTTGTTCAATCTTCCTC